AGTCCCAGACTGTCGTACATGTTAGCTAGCACTGTGTACCAGACTGTCGTACATGTTAGCTAGCACTGCGTACCAGACTGTCGTACATGTTAGCTAGCACTGCGTACCAGACTGTCGTACATGTTAGCCAGCACTGTGTCCTAGAATGTCGTACATGTTAGCCAGCACTGCGTACCAGACTATCGTACATGTTAGCCAGCACTGCGTACCAGACTATCGTACATGTTAGCTAGCACTGCGTCCCAGACTGTCGTACATGTTAGCTAACACTGCGTACCAGACTGTCGTACATGTTAGCCAACACTGCGTACCAGACTGTCGTACATGTTAGCCAACACTGCGTCCCAGACTGACGTACATGTTAGCCAACACTGCGTCCCAGACTGACGTACATGTTAGCCAACACTGCGTCCCAGACTGACGTACATGTTAGCCAGCGCTGCGTCAGAGAAAGTCATACAAGTTAGCAACACTGAATCACAGTCTTAGCCAGCCTTGACATCACTGATTCCTACACAAGTTAGCCAGCGCAGCATCAGTGAGAGTTTATCTCTTCCTGTATGCATAAATTTCAAATTTAGCCTAGTCGAGACACCCCGGGGCCGCTCTATGTAATATGGAACTATGGCAAAACGTGGAAAAAGTTTTTCAAGTAAACATGGGAGGGAGAGTTCTTTCACGCTGCATATTGTGACATTGTCTATGCTTCTCTGTACACTCCTTGCTTGATAGCTAGATAGGCGGTTCAAAGTGGACGGGAGCTGAACTAACAACGCATCATTGACTTTCTGATTCATCTTCTTAGTATAAAAAACACATGACGGGACGTAAGGATGCGAAGAATGGAAAATACCTGACCGGAAAGATTGTGTCATGCACTTGAAGTAGGACCATTCGAAGTGTGACAGAATTGAATGAAAGACTGTTTCACGGCTGACTGCATATTAAAGCGATGCAAAGCGCCCATGTGTACGACGAGCACGGGTGAGCCAGGCACAGATCAGTGCACGACTCGATAATAGGCACTATGTCCAAAAGCAATGAATATAAACCTTATCTAAGACAATGTGAATGCATAGGGAACCATGCCAGTGATTTCCAAGCAAGGAGTGTGTGTATACATACGATAATGATCAAATTAGGTTCACAATTTTAGTTAACCATTTACTTATCTAAACCTGTTTTACTCGCACTTATGTTTAACAAAATAAAACAAACACCATTTAAGGTGATTGAAATAATGTTTATTAATAATAATAATAATAAAAATAAAAGAAAAAATACAAAACTTCAATGTTTTTATGACTATACCGTCGTAACAATTAATAATTAACTGATTTCTTCCCAATTTTTGGCGACCTCGTTGTTTTTACAGTTCAATGCCGCGTCTACTTGCATTGGTCGATACATCTCGGGCGACGAGGCACTTCCGTTCGAATGACTCGTGCTAACAGTTTTTAAAGTGTGTCGAAGTAACCGGCGTTGACAGTGACCATGTGCCAATCCCCCACACTATAGGTTCAAATGAGTTATAGGCCATTAATTACGGGCTTGACACAAAATACAATTATTTTTATTTAACACTTAATATAGAGATAGGTTAGTGCACCAGTCAAAGACAATACATTCGTCGAACTAAGCACAGAGCTTGTTCCCAGCGCTACTGTTCACCATACGAACTCACTGATGGCATAATTACGGTTCCGTTTGTTGCACGCCATATATCAAGGGATTGGGTCTACATTTGGCAACGCATACAAATTTCGGGTCATTGATGACGAGCCAGTAGCAAATTTTCTCACGCAATTGATGGTGATGGTGTAATCACATTGTTATCCTTATTTTCCCCATCTGTTGGTACTGAACAATTTGCACGCTATTCCACTTTCACTAACAAATAGATAGTTTTACTGAATAAACTTTTTCTTAAAAATCGAAATCATGCTGGACCTATAGAATAGAAGAAAAAAATGCGTTATTAAATAAATGTATGGGGAGAGTGTACTGATGTAATACAAGGTAACCAGACACGTCCATTGTGCTTTCCATGACATGGTGTACAATATTCTACAATGCTATCTGACATACTATATCAATTTAGACAATATTAACCCACTTACCAACACTC